ACCACGGAAGGCGCAGGAAAGGATGTTGCAGCTGCTACATGAAACACACCAAGGCTCCTCGTCAATGAAAGCGGTGGCACGGTCACTGTTTTGGTGGCCAGGGATGGACAGAGAGATTCAGAAATTGTCGGCGCAGTGTGTAAGCTGTGTGGAAAACCTGCCCATGCCTGCGGCAGCACCACCGGTGAGTTGGCTGAAAACAGCCGAGAGGTGGTCCCGAATCCACATCGATTTTGCGGGCCCAATAGCCGGCAAAATGATACTTGTGGTGGTAGATGCTCACACGAAGTGGATTGAAGCAATACCTATGATGCATGCGAACACAGCGGGTACTATTCGCTGCTTACGAAGTTTGTTTTGTCGGTTCGGAGTGCCACGCACAATCGTGTCCGATAATGGCACGCAATTTACGAGCCAGGAGTTCGCCACGTTTATAGCAAGAAACAATATTGTGCACTTGCATACAGCGCCTTTCCATCCTCAGTCGAATGGAGCAGCGGAAAGGGCAGTGCGAACCCTTAAGGATGGCTTGCGGAAAATGCAAGATGGCTCACTAGAAGATAACATCATGCGCCTGTTATTCCATTACAGGAGGACCCCGCAAAAAGAAGGAAAGTCACCCACGGAGATGCTTCTCGGTTACCAGCTGCGGTCCCGTCTTGACACCTGCCTGCCGCCCAGGGATGAAAACTGGTCGCCGGGTGCTGACGATTGGACCATCTCGCCAGGAAGCAGCGTCTACGCGCGAAACTACGGTGCCGGTAAAAGATGGATGCCTGGACGCGTAAAAGCTGCGTCGGGGGCGAGAATGATAGCAGTGGACACACCAAGAGGGTTAGTGCAGCGTCATATCGACCAAGTCCGCCGCCGCCGCGAATCGACGCCGGAGTCTGCAACTGCGGGGACGACTGAAGGCGCGGACGCTGAAGCTGAACCTGCCAGCGTGACTACCCCTGTCCCGTCTCCTGCGTTGCAACGCACGTCCAGGCGGAATGAGCTAGAGCGAAGCCCAGAGCTACCGGCCGCGGATGGTCGGAGTGAGTTTTCCCCACCAGCTGCTACGGAACCTCCAGTCGCTACGGACGAACCCTCGCCTGAGGTGGTCCCGCATCAGCCAACGCTGAGGCGATCGACAAGAGTTAGGAACCCGGTACAACGGTTCTACTTTTAAGAGGAAAGAAATGTTGTATTTGTTTCGTTTGTAACGCCAGCAAAACCAGCGGCGCGCGCACCATTTCGTTTGGGCCCTGTGCGCCTTCATTCTCCTTTTTCCCCCTACATTCACCCTCTCCTAATGACAATGTATATAGCCACGCTGCGGACAATAAACGTGGTTCGTTGACTGCCCGACCATCGTCCTTGCTGCGCGCTTGAGTTACGACAACACTGAAATTCCGCAAGCCTCTCTTGCCGTTGTCCCTGTTTGCTGCGATGACCATAACGATGCTACGGTAACGTTTACACCTTCCGACATTTTCATGAGCCGCAGAGCTGTTTCCTTGCCTTTCGCTACACTTGACGTCACTGCTGGCCGAAGCAATATTTTCGTCCACAACAACCTTTCTGCACCGCTTACGCTACTTGCCGGCGCATGTCTCGGTCGAGTGGAGTACCTCGATTCCTCTTTATTTCTTAACATGCCAGACGAACCGTGCAGTAGCACCTCAACAGAACTTCATGCCCTTTTCCTACTGGAATGCTCGTCGAGTGACACCTTCCCGAGTTCCATCGCCGACACCTTAAGTGCCCATGAACGCGCCGAGCTTCTTAATCTCCTCCAGCACTTCGCGAGTTCATTCGACGTTTCTCAGCCGCAATTGGGTCGGACTTCCGCAGTGCACCACTACATTGACATCGGTTCACACCAGCCATTGCGTCAAAGACCGTACCGTGTCTCTGCTGCAGAACGTCACGTCATCAACGACCAGGTCGAAGATATGCTACGCCGTCGCGTAATTCAACCATCGCACAGTCCTTGGGCATCTCCTGTCGTTCTAGTACGAAAGAAGGATGGATCGATTCTATTTTGCGTCGTCTACCGGCGATTAAACAAGGTGACGCGGAAAGACGTCTATCCATTACCGCGCATCGACGACGCCCTTGACAGCCTCCAAGGAGCCGAATTCTTTTCCTCCTTAGACTTACGATCGGGATACTGGCAGGTTCCAATGGCGGAAGCTGATCGCCAGAAAACTGCGTTCATTACACCAGATGGCCTGTACGAATTTAACGTAATGCCATTTGGGCTTTCTAATGCTCCTGCCACGTTTGAACGACTCATGGACAACACACTGCGTGGACTGAAGTGGTCTGTATGTCTATGCTACCTCGACGACATTGTCATTTTCTCTCCCGATTTTCCTACACATCTGCTTCGGCTCACACTGGTTCTCACGTGTTTAACCAACGCTGGGCTCCAACTGAACCTTAAAAAGTGCCGCTTCGCCACGCCAGAGCTGTCCATCTTAGGGCACATCGTGTCCAAGCATGGTGTTCTGCCCAACCCTGCAACACTGCGAGCAGTTGCTGAGTTCCCAAAACCTACTACACTGAAAGAATTACGCAGTTTTGTTGGACTATGCTCGTACTTCAGGCGCTTCGTGCGAAATTTTGCGTCGATCATGTCACCACTGACCAACCTCCTACGCGGTGACGCAGACCTTTCATCCTGGTTTCCTGACTGCGACGTTGCGTTTGCCACGCTCCGTAGTCTGCTAACACCTCCTCCGATTCTTCGGCGTTTTGACCCAACAGCTGCAATGGAAGTTCACACAGACGCTAGCGGTGTTGGTCTTGGCGCTGTCCTCGCCCAACGCAAGCCGGGATACTCCGAATACGACGTCGCTTATGCGAGCCGCACGCTTACTAAAGCTGAGGCCAATTACAGCGTCACTGAAAAGGAGTGCTTGTTGCTAGTGTGGGCGCTTCGCAAGTTCCGCCCTTATTTGTACGGTCGCCCATTCGGCCTGGTGACGGACCACCATGCACTTTGTTGGCTCGCCACATTGAAGGATCCTTCAGGCCGCCTAGCTTGGTGGGCACTGCAAATCCAAGAGTACGACATTCACGTCATCTATCGCAGCGGACGCAAGCATTCTGACGCCGACGCCCTGTCGCGTTCGCCTTTACCACCCGACTCGGCCTGCGGAATCACTGGTAGCAACTCCGTCGCATCTCTCGACCTCGACTCCTTTGCCAGTGAACAACACAAGCACCCGTGGATCGCTTCCCTTTTTGACTGTCTCTCTGGATCATCAACCACTGTGGTACCACGATCTCTCCGACGTCAAGCTGCTCATTTCGCCATACGTGATCGGCTGCAACACCGACGCAACTACGCCCCTGAAGGTCGTGAGTGGCTCTTGGTTGTCCCGCGCCGCTTGCGATCACAAATCTGCGCCTCCTTTCACGACGATCCCCAATGTGGTCATGCCGGAGTTTTCAAAACTTACCAACGCTTTCGCCATCACTTCTACTGACGCGGAATGTATAATTTTGTTCGAAAATTCGTTATGGCCAGCCCTGACTGCCAACGCCGCAAGTCACCGCCTTTCCACTCGTACGGTGCGCTTCAACTACTTCCGTGCCCTGCCAAACCTTTCGATCGAATCGGAATTGATCTCTATGGCCCTCTACCGACAACATCAGATGAAAATCGGTGGATCATAGTCGCTGTGGACCATTTCACACGCTACGCTGAGATCGCTGCCCTTCCAAGTGCCACTGCGCGGGACGTAGCGTCCTTCGTCCTCCATCGATTCATACTACGACAGGGTGCACCTCGAGAACTACTAAGTGACCAAGGTCGAGCTTTCCTATCGGAAGTCGTCACGTCTCTGCTTTCCGAATGCCATGTTGTTCATCGCAAGACCACGGCATACCACCCGCAGACTAACGGGCTCAGGGAGAGATTTAACCGCACCCTTGGCGATATGCTCGCGATGTATGTGACATTCTATCATACTAACTGGGATCGCATTCTTCCATTCATCACGTTCGCATACAATACCACGGCACAGTCTACCACTGAATTTTCACCTTTCTTTCTTCTTTATGGACGCGAACCATCCCACACCATCAACACTGTCCTTCCATACCGTCCTGACGCATCCGAATGCCCATCTGTGTCCGAAGCTGCCCGAAATGCGGAAGAGTGCCGTGAACTCGCACGCACCTTTACGTCACAAGAACAGCAGCGCCAGAAAGAAAACAACGCCGACTCTTCACAAAGCCACAGCTATTCCCCGGGATCACTTGTATGACTGGCTGTTCCTTACCAAACCCCGGCCTTTTCTCAAAACTCATTCCAAAGTTCGAGGGCCCATATCGCGTTTTGGAGCAAACCTCACCGGTGAATTTTCTCATTGAGCCACTTTCCCCATCTGACGACATGCGCCGGCGTGGACGTGACATCGTCCACGTCGCCCGCCGTAAGCCATATCACAGCCCTCTGCCTCCAGACTCTTAGGTCGCCAGGAAAGCTCTTTTTCGGCGGGGGCAGAGTGTGAAGAAGAAAACGCATCGTTGGCAAGCAACATCACCACCGCTTGGGCACTGGGTGCTGGGCTTCGCTCGCTCGGCTCGTGCTGATCATCGCCGGCATCGGCTTGACCGTTGCTCTTTCCTGATCGTGTTTCATCGTAGGACCACCGTCGCAACAGTCGCCAATAAGCCCCTTTTCATGTCTTTCAATTACTCGAACCACGATTACATGCAGGCATCTCAAAATACGAGCTATAGCTACGCATATTATGAAAAAAAAATTGCGCACAAACAAATTATATGCAAAAAATACATTAACGAACATTACGCCGGACAAACTTGTTTGCGATGCGATCGCGCTTTCTCATGCAACGGCAACATGAGAAAATGTTACACTGTCATAAACCTCGATCACAAATCTAACTCGCCACGTTGTAGTGTAAAGCCTCATATCACGAAAGGCCGGTCACTTACGAAGGTAATTTCCGACGAGGCTGTAGTGCATGCTTGACGTTGGATCAGACGGAAGCCACCTGTGCAATGAGACAATGGATATAATTCACCTGATTAATCGTACAAAAACATATACAGGATTTTGCTTTAATACAGTTTAAAAATGTGTGCTCGAAGGTCCCTCTGCTGCACATGAATCAATGGTTGGAAACTGAACCTTGCCGCCAACCATTGTGAAACCTGTTAAAGTAGCAGTAAGCGGCGGGACGAAAACAACACTAAAGCGTGCGGACTGTACAACAGTCATGTTTAGTTTGAAATAACGTTTGGGCCAGTCAGGTGTTCTACCTCATAAGCACGCCTGTGCTTGAAATTGCTTCAAACAAACAAACAAACAAACAAACAAACAAACAAACAAACAGACAGACAGACAGACAGACAGACAAACAGACAAACAAACAGACAGACAGACAGACAGACAGACAGACAGACAGACAGACAGACAGACAGACAAACAGACAAACAAACAGACAGACAGACAAACAGACAAACAAACAAACAAACAAAGAAGAAAAACTTTACAGGCGTCGTGTAGTTTAAACAGTCGTGTTAAAAAACGTACGAGGAACGTTTACCGATTTACCGAGCACTTGGGAATATTTCGTTATTCATATCATCCACGAAAACACTATAGTGTGCTGCTGCGCGCATTGTTTTAAGGTTGCCAAGTGGCCCCGCCACGGTGGTCAAGTGGCTAAGGTACTCGGCTGCTGACCCGCATGTCGCGGAATGAAACCCCGGCTGTGGCGGCTGCATTTCCGATGGAGGCGGAAATGTTGTAGGCCCGTGTACTCAGATTTGGGTGCACGTTGAAGAACCCCAGGTGGTCAAAATTTCCGGAGCCCTCCACTACGGCGTCTCTCATAATCAAATAGTGGTTTTGGGACGTTACACCCCACAAATCAATCAATCAAGGTTGCCAAGCGAGCACTTCGATAGTTCGCGTATGGATAAACTCTGGTGATAAACTTCACGACTATACTTCCATTAGGGTATTTTAGACTAGTTAAAAAACGCCCTAGTAGCTCGCACAGTCTTTCCTTTCTTGCTTAACATGCACTGACTGGCTAGGCTAGTTCTTCAGCCACGATTTTTGAAGAAACAGTGCACAGAAGGATACAAAACACGCACACATAAAAGACGCAAACACAAACGCTTCGTTTCTTCGCGCCATGGTTGAAGCGTTCATTGAGGAAGCGAAGCGCGGCAAATGAATGTGAAGGCGATGCGAATAGGACCAGATTACGATATCGCATTCTACTCTTGAAGGTTAATTTTGAGTACTTTTAGTTTTCCTTGCGCCCGGTTTTCCTTGCGCAACGGTTCACAGCAATGCAGTCATACGAAGTCGTCCAAATTTTTATGTTTCTTAACGACTTCTATGTAATGTAAATGTACAGCACTGTTTTTCGTTCCTTATGCGGACAAGCTTCAACTGATTTCCGGTATCATGCGCTATATTTCTTTGACGTTGAAATTGATATTTCATAGATTACGCACGCAAATCAGTCTTCCACATTTCCAGGAGATGACTCACGCAAGATCTATTCAATAAGTTCTTAGCAATCACAAACACTTTTCAGTAAGGTGGTCTTCGCACCGTTCTTTTCGGTCAGTGATCAATGAGCGATAGTAAATGTGACGATACATGAATGTGATCCCAGTGACGTAACTAGTCGCAACTTAGCACTCCCTCACCACCCGCATATATTCCTGATCACATCTCGGAAACGTATTGAATACGTGCTTGTGTGGATGTGTGTGTGTGTGAATGAGGTAGTGCGTATACAATTGCGCCTATGGTCACTTCACGACGTATCAACTAGCCTAACAGCAAGTTCTGGTTAGTTATAAACATTCTATGTAAGATTACATACCCGAAATCATTGGCCCGACTAGCCCGTCTCAGTCGGCCGTATAGGATCCTGTAGTATGTCCTGGTCGCTGCGAGAACGCTCCTGAAGAAGTCTTCTTTCCTCAGATCGGGAAGCTGCGACACACATACTGGGTATAAATCATTCGTAGGCACTGAGGATATTTAAGCGCGAAATCGCAGCCACGCGAAATTACGGAAGAAACAGTGCCAGTTTGTTGAGCAATATCACTGGATAAAGTGATGCGATGGAATAGTTCCGGCTACGTATTTTGAGGCGAAAGTCCTTAATGTCTCCTACTCGCAGTGTTTGTTTGCCCATCATGCCCTGGAACGGCGCTAGCTGAGGACTATCCCCTTCACACACTCTCTCAGCAATCACGTGATGGCTTAGAGTGCAAAAAAACAACATGACACAGCCAATCAAATTACCGCAGGCTATAACCGAACACACTTTGTATTTTACAAAGCGCCCTTCAATTTTAAGCTTGATGAGTTGGCCGACGTAACCTGCTTCAACAACGCCAACCAAACTTAAAAACATAGGGGTGCCACACTGCGAGTATTCCTTCAACAAATCCGGACATCTGAGCAAACGCACACCTTGTGATATACGGGCATTTTCATGCGAACTTCGCCATAGTCCTTGATGTAGTGGTTAAACAATTTCATTTCACCAGAACTATAGCTGGTAAAGATTATGTTTGAAGAAGTGAGCGGTGTAGACATGAAGCACGTTATTTTTTTTATAATACGGTGGCCCTCGACCTATAGGTTGAACCTGGCTTTGCTCACCTCTTTGTAGTACTCGTCCAATTCGTGATCGCTCCGAATCCAAGGTGGAAACCCGATGTTAAGTTGCAAGCGTTGAAGCTGCGGTACCGTGAAAATGGGTTGCTATAAAGGTGATTGCTGATGTCATCGACGACACCAAATTATAACAACATGACTAGTTATATTAATTCCTAATTTATATTATTGATCTTCCTGATACCATAACCTCATCAATACGTCTTTTCGCTGACGATTGTGTTATATATAGAAATATATGTGAACCTTCTGATCCCTCACAACTTCAAACCGACCTTAACACAATTTCAGCCTGGTGCAACACCTGGCTAATGAAACTAAACGTCGACAAGTGCAAATATATGAGGTTAACTCGAACAATCAAGCACACCCCTGTAAACACACATTTCCTGAATGGCTCCCCTCTATTATCGGTTACCACCTACAAATACCTGGGCGTTGAGATTTCAGATAACCTTTCGTGGCACTCGCACATTGAATATATTAGCAATAATGCGAACCGCATGCTCGGCTTCCTTCGACGAAATTTCTCTCGAGCTCCCACTTCATTAAAACTGCAGCTTTACAAAACCCTTGTACGGCCGAAGATTGAATATGCCTCTTCTGTAGGGGATCCACATTCTGCCAATCTTGTCTCCACACTTGAAGCTATCCAAAATCGGGCCGCTCGTTTCATTCTTTCTTATTATTCCTGGTCATCCAGTGTCACTAACATGAAACAAGTAGTACAACTACCTGATCTTGCAACCCGTCGTATGATATCCCGCCTATGTGTTTTCCATAAAATATTTTACACCAATCAGACCTTAAAACAATCCCTTTTTTCAGTTCCATCATATGTGTCATCCCGCATTGATCATCTGTTAAAAGTTGGTGTGCCAAACTCCCGAACAAACCTCTACCTGAACTCGTTTGTCCCAATGACCAGCGTGCAGTGGAATCACCTTCCAGCCTCCATCGTCTCCATCAGCGACGCTGCGCACTTCAGGTCCACTGTCAGCAATCACTTTTTGTAACCACCCCACTGTTGTCTTTTCTCTTGATTGTTTAATATTGTACCCCTCCTCTCTGTAACGCCTTACGGCATTGAGAGGAAATAAATGAAATGAAGTTACTCCCCATAAAGTTTGTGCTATACAATGAAAGACGCGTTCGTATGTTTAGACTAGATGCTGCTGGAACAATACTGCGCCCACTTCTTGAAGAAATTACAATGCGGTGTTTCAGTCATCATAAGACCCATAAGGAGTCAACCCCTCCCCCTCCCCCACACACAACACAAACACACACAAACACGCACGCACGCAATACAAACACAAACACACCAACGCATCACATGCACACACACAAACACACACAATACGCAACACACGCAGGCACGTGTGTTGTTCAAAACTTTCTGATATCTTGAAGTTTTGCCATGTACCACCACGGACGAGCCCATTAACACATCCTTTCAAGCCAAAATTTTTTAACAGTCCATGATCGCAACGTCGATACGGCGATTGTAAAATCGTCCATAGAGAAAAAGAATTCACCGCCTGTTTCAACGTAGCTGTGTTCTCTTTGAGAGTAAACATTCGTGTGTCTGCTCACGTATTATTTTTTGCACTTTCCTAAAAGAGGAATAAACACAGGGTTTGAGCCTAAAGGCAGCCAGAAAACGACGGTGTACAAACTGAAAAACTGCAAACGTTGCTCCGCTTCTACGTTAGGAAAAGGTTAAGAAAAAAGAAATATATAGCTAAAAATGCTGACCTTGACCAATGCACGCTCCTTGGTCTTCGAGTCCATCCAGCGACTCATATCGATGAGAACGCTGAACGCTTGCCGCAGCTCCTCGGCCATGTCGTAAACCTAAATAAATAAATAAAAACAAAACAGACAGAGGCACCAATCACGGAGGCATAGGAGGGCTCAACACCTTCCCCTTGTAGTTTTCCACGGCGAGAAGGGTGAAAAAATATTAATAGAGCCTAGTTACCCGATAAATTTATTCTAGATATGTGGTTTTATCACTGCGATAAACCTTGAGAGAGTAAACGTTGTTTAGTGATATCAACGTTCTTTTTATTGCGATATCAATTATGTGTACACTCTCGGTGGGGTTTCGTCATCCCCGTAACGCAATTACAATAACTCACCGTCATCACCACAAATACAATGAGATCAGGAGAACAATTTTTCGAAGCGCGTGACCAGGAATTCAAGCTTCTACAAGTTCACTTCCAGAAGCCATTTCAATCAGTTGTAACTGTTGTATAATAAAATTTAGAGGCGTACTTAATTCTTGACTTGAGTGTCTGCAGGGGTGTAGACAGAATTTTTTTTCGGACGAGGTAGGGGGACTTTCTTGATTTCGGGATTGGGGCAGCCTTTTAAAAAGATCATTTTCGCTCCGTGTGTCATGGCGAAGAAAAAAATCAGGTGTGGGTGGCATTGACCCGGTGTGCCACCCCCCATGGGTACACCACTGGGTGTCTCTGGAACAGGATAACTCGCTCCTCGGCGTCGACTTAACGACTGATTTCACGATGCTACCTATCACAAAGTAAAGCAATCTATTTACGAATTTATATGCGTCTTAACAAACCGTCGAGGGGGACTGAAACAACGAAAAGTACGTGCCATGCATCACCTTTTCAGGACAAGCATGCAGGTGGTAAAAAGGAAGGGCGCTCACCCCCTTGTAGCGCAGCGAGGCCTTGCTGACGTGCCGGTCAAAGTAGAGCCTGCCGACGGCGAAGCCGAGCAGGCGCATGGTGATGCGCACGCATTGCCTCGGCACCTCGGTGGGCTCCTGCAGCAGGTAGCGGTAGTGGTCGAAGCGGAACTGCGCCTGCCGGAACCGGGACATGGCGTGCTGGCCCATCACTTGCACGATGCGCCAGCCGAGGTAGTTGGCCACGATCGAGCTGCGAAGCGCGCGTGTGCGCACCGAGCTTGACTTGACAGTAAGAGTGCACTCACTAGGGAGGTTTAGAACAGTGCACCGCAAGCTCTTGCGGTGTGGTTACTGTCATTGCGCATGCGTCGTAACGCGAGCCGCCGTTCGCGCTTGCGGTTCACCCGCCGAAATTCAGAAATAGCGTGCGGCGATTGCGGCCCCCGAGGCCCGCAGAGTGTTGTGTAGAGCTTGCGTGCATTTGGGTTTGCGGTCGGGGCGAAAGTCCCTAAAATTTTTTCTACGGGGAAAAAACGCTATTCTAAAGCTCATATGTTGCCCGCACTTAAGGCAACACCCACAAACCTTGCGAAAGTTATTCTAAAACTCCATACTGTCATTGACTTTTGCTCATACTTAGTACACTGCCGTTCAGCAGGACTCACGCCTGCTAACCCCTTTTTACCGAGTGTCGCGAATTCACGACATATCGAAAAACTTCGAGCAAGCAAGTCCCTAAATGCGTGTCGCCTTAAATGCCGGCGGTCGAGTGCTCACGAACGTCTTGAGGGGCTAATTGGTTAATTCTATGCAGGAAAAATTGAGCTAAAATAGAGAAGGACACCGCAAAAAGGAACACTAAATGAGCGCAAACTACGAACAGTTTTTATTGACTGTAAAATGTAGGTTAAGTAGGGAAACCGAACGCAGCTGCGCAGACGCACCCCTGAGCATTACGTGCTAACGCACCTTATTCACAAAAAGAAGACTTGCGCATCATATGCGCTCTATGGTGCAGATGTACCTTTTTTTATGAACGAGGTGCTTAAGAGAACAGGGTAAGCTCTATACCCACACTGTATTTTAGGCGAAGTTTATGTACCTTTTTCTCTTTGACCATAAGAGCTACAATAGTTATTTTATCATCATTGTAATAATAAGCTATTGTTATTTTTACTGAAGAAGATCAAGTCCTGAAAATTGAAAGTTAACTTTCTGTAAATTTTTTACTTCAGGTACCTGATTGTCACTCGATAATACCAATTAGATGTCGTGATGCAGTAGAGAATTTCGTCACCGAACAATATTTCTGCTTCAGCATATTTCCCATAACGTTATCTGAATACTGGCTGAAATCTATGATTCTATATACTGTGGTTGCTGAGGAAACAAAACATGAGTATAAAAACATGTTTTGAAATAATCGCTTTTAAAGTTGAAAATCTGCCTTAGTTCGAAAGTACAAAACATAACAGCTAATTGACAGACCCGTTCAATAGGCACCAGCCAGATACTCATCACTAATATCATTTTTTAAAAGCGTAAGTGTTTTGTGCAGGGCTCCATTACTGCTCCGCTGACGTACTTCCGTCACGGAAGTGACGTTAAATATATATACTAAAAGATTGCAAAAACAACAACCAGAAGGCAAGCATATGTCGCACGTAATTGAACCAGCAACCTCTCAATTCTCAGCGCGCGGCGCTAACCCCTCCACAGAGTCTACGTTCACTGGTTTGTTAACGGCAAACTGTTTGTATACACCATAAACTGTTCTCCAGTCCTCAGACCTTCGAAACTTAAGCACGTTTTTATTATCATTTGCGAGATGGCGCAACAGGCTGGCGTTTGGCATGCTCTAAAGGTCGTCGTCATTCTCGCCTCCATCGAAAATATGTGGACTGGACAACGTTTCGCATGTACTCCAATCTGGCTCTATTACTTTTAATCATCAAACGTTAATAATATGGCTGTGATGCTTGATTTTCAAGGAATTCCTTGCTACTTAAAAATGGGGGAATGGCAGGCCACTGCCCAAGTTAAAAACATGCCATTTTTAGAAAAAAGAAATGGCAGATCCGACGTACAGTGGGAATCTATGATATGCGAAGAATTAATGAGAAAGGTTGATATGTCACTTTCAAATCAGCACAACGTTACGAGATGAAGGTAAATAATGCAGTACATCACTTCCGTGTCATGATTATCATGTTTGGATGTGTCATTTACCTTCGTCAACCATTTACGTCACGTGATACCTAATTTAGTATATGTGGAGCTAGCGAAACGGCCTCGAGCACACTATGAGCATGACATGTTGTCATGTTCTTACATGACACGGGTGTCAGGATTATCATGTTTGCACCAGTCATATATTTCGTCATCTATAGACGTCACGTAACACCAAACTTTGTATATGTTGAGCGAGCAAAACGGCCGCGAGCGCATCATGAAGGGCCCAATATACTCCGATGTAGCATTGACGCACGTGCATGATGGGCACAGCGACGCTACTTTACCAAAACCCGAGAACTCTATTTTCTGACGACAGGCGTGACCAGCGTCCGCTGGCGTGGCCTGACGGCAAGCGGCGCGAAATGCGACATGCTGCATTTCACGTCGATACGTTACCCAGACAACTCTGCGTCTCCCTGTGTTCGTGACGGAGGGACGCCTGACCTGCTGAAACACGCATGCGTCAAAGCAATGCAGTGCAGCTTGCGCCTGCGAGAATATGGCAGGATCGGCGCCTGGCGTGGCAACGCCGTCGTGACGCGACGATATAAATGCCGTCGAGCACGCGCACCACGTCACGTTGAAATGTATTGGTGCCTTGACTATGGCATGTGGTCATGTTCTCACATGACACGCATCTCATGATTATCATGTATGTACCAGTCACATAACTTCGTCATCCATTGGCGTCACGTAATACCAACTTTGGCATATGTGAAGCTCACGAAACGGTTGCGAGCGCATCATCAGTGAGGCATGTAGTCATGTTGTTATGTGACATGCATGTCGTGATTATCATGTTTGGATGTGTCATTTACCTATGCCGTCCGTTCGCGTCGCGTAATACCGAGTTTGGTACATGTGAAGCTAGCGAAAAGGCCGCGAGCGCATCATGAGCGTAGCATGTAGTCGTGTTGTAACATGACGCGCATCTCATGTTTACCATGTTTGCAGCAGTATCATACCTTCATCATTCATTCACGTGCCGTAATACCAAATTTGGTGTAAGTGAAGCTAGCGAAACGGCCGACAGCGCATCATGAGCGTGGCGTGTAGTCATGTTGGTATATGACACGCATATCATGATTATCATATTTGCACCATTCACATACCTTCGTCATCCGTCCGCGTAATACCAAATTGGTATATGTGACGCTAGTGAAACGCCCGCGAGCGCATCATGAGAGTGGCATGTACTCATGTTCGTACATGACCCGCATGTCATTATTTTCATGTTAGGGTTGGTCGCTCGTGTTCGGCATGCAATCATGTCATACCATACCAGTTTTGCAACATGCCATGTGAAGGGAACCACCGCAAGAGGTGCAGGACTATGAAATGTAAATCATGACATTCATGACGTACATGTCATAATTTTCATGTGTTTACAGTCAATTATGTTCTTCATACAGTAATGTTATGCCATACCAAGTTTAGTATCGATACTATTATCCAAACACCCAGGAAGCTAAAAGTCGAAGCCGGCTAGATATATATATATATATATATATATATATATATATATATATATATAATATATATATATATATATATATATATATATATATATATATATATATATATATATATATATATATACGCTCAAAGTCGCCGAAGTTCGCTAAGAAATGATTCGCTTTTAAAATCGTTGTATTACAAATGACTGAATCTGGTTCAGAAAAAGCTGCAGAAAAAGCACCATCCGTGCGTCCATCCATGCGTCCGTTCATCCATCCGTCCGTCCGTCCATCCGTCTGTCCATTCGTCCGTACGTCCGCGCGTCCATTCGTCCATCCACCCGTCTGCTAGTCTGTCTGTCCATCCGTCCGTGAGTCCATCTGGTTAACACTCCAAGTACCGCCATCTCGCATCTCGCACCCCTCGTGGTACATACCCGCTCTAAAGCGGGTATGTGCCACCGGTAGCTACCTACTACTACTACTACTACTACTACTACTACTACTACTACTACTACTACTACTAGTACTAGTACTACTACTACTACTACTTCGCCCTAAGTAGCTTCGCCACTAAAAAGGACTTTTTTCAATATTTCTGCTTATCCTGTCCCCTTAAGCATGTGATGTTTCTGGGTGCGTCTGCGCAGCTATGTTCGATTTGCCTGCTTAACCAACGCTCTACAGTCAATAAAACAGTTGGTAGCTTGCGCTCGATCTATTTAGCATGTCTTTTTTTGTTTCTTATTGATCTTTATTTGTTCATTTTTAATTAACGCAGTGTTTCCTGCATAGAGTACTCGTGGAGAACGTAGCTTTCAGCATGAAAAATCCAAAGCAGTCTTGTGTAATATTGTATGCTAGAACCGAATGTTTGTAGCTGATGGCAGGAAGCTTGAAACACGTGCAACAACCCTCATAGCTTCGTTTTTTCTGGCCTGGGCGATGCAAGTTCTATTGTCAATAATTTTGTTTATTTGGTGTGCACGCACCCAAGAGGCGGCACACAACATGTTACGCAGCACCGAAGTACGGGTTTTGTTGCAAGGTCCTCGCTCTTGGAGCATATCAAGAATTTTCTACAAATTTAAAAGCGTGCAACAAAGTTGAATTTTAATGAATTTAACTGGAATCAACTGATGGTTGCTATTTAAAGGTGGAAAATGAGTACAGTTTTTATTTTGTTCAGCAGTTTCATAAATCAGTCATTAAAGGGCATTATAACCACTCACCAAGCTGACCAGTGCCCACAAGGACATACTCTTCATGATTACTTTCCAGCGCTTTCTCCTACGCAGACTTAGGACAACTGACACCCGTATTCGTCGATTGCTATTGATTTATATAACGCTCATGACGTAAGTAGGGTGCGAGTAATGTCAGTGCATCTGAGATTGGATATGTCGACTTATATTTAACGCAAAACGCACTCTACAGTAGAGAGTCTTTATGTGGGGTGGACACTGTAACCAAATATTTTTGCAACAAAGCATACATCAAAGTCGGCAATATTGCAGTATCAAAGCATACATGGCCGGCAGAATGGTCTCACCATGTTACAAGCTTAGAGGGTCCCTGCAACAGTTTCGCAAGTAGCCAAAGAATGGATTCAATAAAGAAACTTCTTGCCTCACGAATTCACTGCCACAAAATTTTTCTGGATTCGTTCTAGCTGAGCGGAGACACAAAGCCCTGTCGCACGCTGCAATTGCATTTTTTCTTCTCTCGTCCCGATTGGAGCGCCGGAAACTAAGTAGGAAGGGACCGCGCGGGGGAAAAAAATACGTCACGTGCGCCTCGCTACCTCGACCACTTTTCCTTTTTTTTTCTTCTTCGAATGCGTGGCTTTTCAGTGCTATCACACGTGCTCACGTGGACAAGTCGCGGCCACCAGCGGTGGCCTCAGTAACGCTTGAGCGCCATGCTCAAATCAGCCATTGGCTCATAGTTGGCCTGTAACACACTAAATTTTGAGCCTGTCGGGTAAATCGTCGAGACAAAAGAAAAAGCAATTTTTAGCTGGCTTTGATAAGTTATTGTAAATACCAGGTTGCGTGCTGCCCTGTAGTATTTGGCACGCGTATTCTCGGGAGCCTAAACCATCAATCGGTAGCGTTTTCTGACCATGCTCGTAAAGTATTGCAGGGTACCTTTAAGGCTATCAGCCGGCATACATTGCGGGAAGGGAGGCATGGGCAGAAAAGTGCACCCTCCTACGTAAAAAAATGATACACATTCTTTGTAGACCATACAGTTCAAAGTGCTATGTTGCTATAGTATACCTTGGAACCGACTTGAGCAACCGGGAAAGCTTCTTCAGGTAGATGGGATTCGTGACGACCACGTGATCATTTAGATCCATCGAAACGCCCACGTCGCGCAGGATGAGGTTGAGGAAGAACGTCCAGCGAACCTGCACAAGGCGATGTAAGTAAGCCATGTTAGCCACCCGACAAGTCTGTCGTAAAATAAGTTCGCACATTAGCTGAACAGGAGACTTTCGTCAAACGCTGCCTACATTTCATTGAAAATACTTCGTGAAATTCGCCCTGAAACCACAATGGTACTGAAGGAAAGTTTAATGCATTGTAGCTTCAGGTAGTGTGAGGTTGATAAAACGTTCGCAATCTCACAGATGTGCCCACTGTGCTATGTACCGGCGCGTCGACACCTTCACAGCTGCGCAAGGACGCCTTACAGAACTGCAGACAGCTCAGTGCATAGCAATTGTCTAGTCACCCAAGCTTCGATTGATACTTCCTCGATAAAGTTCCCCCGTGAAAGTGACATTCGAAATGAATAGCGTTAAATCTCAGCTACCTTCCGTATTCTGTACATGTAGTTGCATTATTATTATGGTACAGGAACGACACACTCGTATTCAGAAAATAAGCAGAGAGGAACACCCTCTAACGTTGGCTCCCGCTAATGTACGTGGTCTACATGAGTGCTAGCATCAACGGCTGCCACGTCGAGCAAGACATAGGCTCGTGGATGGGAAAGTCATTCCTCTCGCACGGAGACTGCTGCAGATTTGACCAGTTTAGAAACTACAAGTAGAATGTAAGCGTTGTAAACCTAACTGCGTCACAATCACAATAACGCTCACCGTTTCATATTGTATACTTACTGGATGATAAATAACATCAACCTTTTAATGGTACAAAAGAATACGTATGCCTGATACCACGTCCACTCACACCATCATTTCACTCCACTAGATTAGTTCAAATGCGGTTATTTAGTCTGGATAGCTATGCCGTTATCTTGCGGAAATGTACTTGAGTGGGAGAACGGCAGTGCGCTGATGTGAGATTAAGAACACGAAAACACATCCTTACACCTTATATTCAAATAGTCATTCATAAGCCTAAGTGCAACTGTTTGCCTCTTTACAACAACGCCAACTTTCAGGACCGCAGCCGTAACCAGATTAAACGTGGAATCATCGAGAACGATTTCTTGTGCTAGCTGGGATGGAGCTGGTGTATGTCTATGGGGGGATCGTTGCGCACACAGTCGGACGAATACATGAAAAAAAAAAAATGTTTGGACAGAAAGAGCGTCACTGATGCAATCACGTGAGAGCCAGGGAACCATTTACACAGTATGGAAGAAGCAGCAAGTAACCTTGCATATATTGTGTTTTTTATCGGAGCCACATTTTTTGTGGTTGTTTTTTCTTACTTCACCGCGCCGAATTTTTGAAAGGTTGGCTTCTCCTTTGCAAAGACAAAACAAAAACAGAGCACGCTTTGCAGCAGAGACAACACTTCGTCATGCCGGTTTCACGTTTACTCTTTCCTTTTATGACTATATTCCAGCTCATGCACGGATACTGATGAATACAAGCATGCATATACATGATCGCGAGATATTCATAACAAATATTGATTCGCTGCATCTGCAACAATTTTTTTCTCAGCGCTCAGGTGGTTACGGCTTCATGTTTTGGCATATGTAAATACCAAGATGGTTGGATAAGCTAACGATTACTAACTTTTACCAGTGATGAGGAGAAACATTTCTTGTATTTTCACACCTCCTGATACTGACTTGCATGTCACGCTTTTTATTTTTGACGACGGTATTTTCTTACTTCACCACGCCTGTGGTGTTCTATAGTTTGCTTTTCCTTTGCAAAACTAACACAAAGACAGAGCATGCTTTACAGAAGACACAACACTTCGTCACTCCCGTTTCACGTTTACTCTTTCCTCTTATCGCAATATTCTTGCTCATGTATTGATACTTATGAATACATTCGTGCATATTGTTACGAGTAACTTGTTTAATGATCTATTTACAGCGCACAGAACCCGACGAGCAAGATGGCGTCAGACCAGCATCCAACGGAAAACCCACTTCGTCCTCCTCTTTCATGCAGCCGTGTTTAGCGGCTGTTTTGTATCGTAACCCCCGGCGGTAGAAGCACCGTCCCGGTGCTAAATTTACGCAGATGATGTCGAAGGGGGGTAATAGGGCTTTAGCCGAGCCACGTGAACAGTGTCGCTTGGAGCTGACGATGAATTTGTTGGATCGGTTAGAACAATCTCGTACGTGACGTCTGTAACTTTGCTAACGATACGGAATGGTCCAGTGTAGGGCGACAACAGTTTTTCACACAGTCCCACATGCCGAGTAGGTGACCAGAGGAGCACGAGAGAACCCGGAGAAAAGTGCACGTCCCTATGGTGAGAATTGTAGAGCTGTTGTTGGCGCGCCTGTGAAGCCTGTAGACGGTTACGGGCGACTTGGCGCGCGTGGTCGGCGCGGGCAATGGCTTCACCAGCATATTCAATGGCCGCAGGTAGTAACGTGTCTAAATGTAGAGTTGGGTCCCGGCCATACAGTAGAAAGAAGGGCGAATATCCGGCAGTGTTGTGACGAGATGAGTTGTAGGCGAACATCACATACGGCAAATGAATGTCCCAATCATGGTGGTCTGGCGCAACGTATTTGGCAAGCATATCGGTTAGGGTCCTGTTAAGGCGCTCCGTGAGGCCATTTGACTGGGGATGGTACGAAGTAGTAAATTTGTGCTTGGTATGGCAAGACCTCAGGATTTCATGAACGACAGCTGATAAGAACGCGCGGCCACGGTCGGTGAGAAGTTGACGGGGAGCACCGTGCACTAATATTATGTCGTACAGCAGAAAGTCCGCAACGTCGGTAGCGCAGCTGGTCGGGAGTGCTCGTGTGATTGCGTACCGCATCGCGTAGTCCGTGGCAACAGCAATTCATTTATTTCCGGCTGTGGAGAGTGGAAAAAGGGCCCAACAGGTCGAGACCAACTGGAAAGAAAGGCTCGTTGGGAACGTCGATCGGCTGAAGGTAGCCGGCTGGGAGGGCAGATGGCGTTTTGCGACGCTGACAGGGCTCACAAGCGACGACATAGCGTCGAACAGAGCGGGCAAGTCCAGGCCAAAAAAACCGACGTCGTACCCGATCGTATGTGCGAGAAACGCCCAAATGGCCCGTCATGGGAGCGTCATGAAGTTGATGCAGGTAAGTGGAACGCATGTGCGCTGGGATGACAGCAAGTAAGTCTGATCCGAAGGAATCAAGGTTGCGGCGATATAGGATCCCGTCTTTCACCAAAAACATTCGTAGGGACGAGTCGCGAGCCATTGACTCCAATTTGTCAATAATGGCTCGTAAAGAAGCATCCCGACGTTGCTCTTCGCCAATGTTTAACAGCTGCGACGCGGAAAAAACGTCCGTGATAGCGTCAGTATCGGTTGCTTCGTCAACAGGGTAGCGGGATAAACAATCCGCATCCTGATGTAATCGCCCTGTTTTGTACATTACAGAGAACGTGTACTCTTGAAGGCGTAGAGCCCAACGAGCGAGACGTCCCGTGGGATCCTTCAGGGAGGCTAGCCAGCAGAGCGCGTGATGATCCGTGACAACACGGAATGAGCGCCCGTACAGGTATGGGCGAAACCCGACGAGCAAGATGGCGTCAGACCAGCATCCAACGGAAAACCCACTGGGACCGCACGGAGAATGCCACGTCGCCAGACGCTGTGTTGAACTTCCATCGCAGCTCGAAGCCAGCATGATCCACTGAAACTCATCTTGGGATGAGCAGCCCCAATGCCTGGGACGAGCCAAATGTGAGCGTCGTCTTTCCGTATACAAAACACACTAACCGGTTCCTTTTAATTAAGAGGGCGGGTTGTCGCATGCTGTTGTCGTCGTCGCTTGGCGTAATGCTCAATGTGTGGCATATTGAGCGCACTCTAGCGCCCAATGAGAAGTCTTTCTTCCTCTTGTTCTTCGAGCGCCTTGATGATGATAAGCCATTTGGTGCAACCCAGGCAAAACAGCGTTTAAAATATTGTTATGAGTAACTTGTTTAATGATCTATTTACAGCGCACAGAACCCGACGAGCAGGATGGCGTCAGACCAGCATCCAACGGAAAACCCACTTCGTCCTCCTCTTTCATGCAGCCGTGTTTAGCGGCTGTTTTGTATCAATATGGAAACTTGCGAAAATTGATAACAATTAGCAGCGACTTTTAGCTGACCGCTTTCGCGCTCCGTTCCCCATTCTGCTCAAACAATCGACGTTACCGGAGCGCAACGCACGTTTTCAGTTTTAGCCAAGCGTCGCTCAGCGAACGTTATCGCGACGCCACCAGCTTATGAAAGTTGTTTTGAAAGAAAATAAACACAGTTCTTCCAGCAAGATGGAAAATTCTGTTTGAAAAGGGTGTGAATTCATTTACTGTTTGATGCATGAGCACTTTATTTTTTTTTTGTCACCTTCACTTGCACCTGGACTACTTTAAAGCCTTCAAGGCAGCCCAAATGCGTTTAAAATGCCCTACCCTGAGGCAGAACGTTCACCGCGTTGCTTTGGGGCCCATCAAACTAAAAAGCTTTTTTGAATAGGTGGAAGAGTGGCTGCTGTTAAATACTAAATTGTTACTAATGTTACATAAAACCGCTTACTATCAAAGATTGGCGGATTCCCTTTGACGGAAGTACCAAGAAACATCTCGAGACCCTCCATTATGTTCATAATTGTCAGCCCTAGATCGTTTTGTGGAACTTCACCCCACATGCACGGATTCCCGAAGCGATGGGCTGCGACGACTTCTCGGAGGAGGCACGGATTTCTGTGTGTCTTGAAGTGCCGTCGGTGCTTGCTTGTTTTGCCGAACAACCACTGCATTTCCCGAGCAGCTCGGACTCGCGGAGCAGGAGGCGGCCATTTTGGCCGTTCCTCCTCGCGTCACGTGATCCTTCGCCCGCCACGACGGTCCGCTCACACGCTCAGCGCCTGACCGTATGGCGCATGCGCAGTGTCATAACCACCGACTGGCCGAGCGGAGCGGGAGGCAAAGTACGGTCAGCTAAAAGTTCCCAATGATTCGCCGCTTCTGCCAACAGTTCTTTTTCTC